GGTGAAGAGCATAGCCCAGCAGCTTGGAGAGTTGTGTCTGGCTGGTAAGCCTGTTGTGGTGGCAGGTGAGGGGGAAGAAAAGGGCATAGTGGGGGCAGATCAGGGCCCCTGTGGTGAGGGGGGGAGTGGGGCAGGGGTAGGCGCTGCACAGCCGAGGCGGGGTGGGACGCAAAATGGAGCTGCAGCTATTCCAGGGGGCCTCAAGGAGGGTGAGTGGCTCCTGCCGCTGCATGAACCCTGGGAGGGCATGGGGGGCATGTGTCCCTCCGGATCTGTGCAGGGTGAGATAGGCTGCCTCTGTGGGCTGGAGTTGGGGTTGTGGCAGGCTCTTCCTGGTGGGGGGCGGCTACAGCGAATTTTGGGGTGGCTGCAACCCCCTGTAGCTCCCCTCCCAGTGCCACCTCTGCTTGCCCTTAGCACATCTCAGATCAGCCTGTGCCGGGAAGAGCCTGGCACAGTCCTGGCCCCAGCCTGCAGTGGTAGCCTGCTCTGCCTTGCCTAGATCGGGGGTCACCTCCCCATTCCTTCCCAGAATGCGGCCCCACCCCACCCCGGCTGGGCAGCGCCTACCCCAGCCCCACTCCCTCCCTCACTGCAGGGGCCTTGATCTTCACCCTCCATATCCCTTCCGTACCCACTCCCCTTCCACCACAACAGACTTATGAGTTGGACACAAATCTCCATGCTGCTGGGCTCTGTATCGGAAATCGGATCAGGATCAGCCAATATGCCTCCTTAAAAATCAGCTATTCATATTGTCCCCCAAAATCTCTGTCAGTGCACCTCTATTAATTATGTTTAATTCTGTCATAGTAATCTGTTAGGATAGTATAGTTAGAGGCTGTACAAATTGGTTGTGAATAGTGTTAATCACATGCTGCTTCAATTTACCAATATTATTCGTATTTCATGGTGTTCTACTACCTTGATTTACTTCAACTTTTGTTTTTGTTTTACCTTCTTTCCCATCTTCACTGCAGACTTTCCAATAACCAATCATCAGACATTTAGTGTTCTACTAGTACCCACCCGTCAATTTCTTTCTCTCTCTCTCTCCTTCTTCCCTTTCATCTGAATGTTTACACTTGCAGCTTGTAATTTTAATTACTAGACAGGAGACTTAAAACTGAGCATTGTCCCACCTTTTTGTGTAAAGTTTGGTTTCTTCTAGATACTAGCAAAGGGAAAGTTGCTGAGATTCCTTAAGAAGCTCATGTCTTTCATGTGAGCTTATGCCTACTAGATACCTGAAACTTAAAGCCACTCACCCTGTGTGGCTGCCAGAAGAGAAGAGCAGCACTCTCTCTCTGTTCTTATTTCCTTGTACTCCCTGTAGCTCCTAGGGTGAGAGTTCTTTGCCATGTCTTATCTTCCCTGACCTTCTGCTGATGTGTTGTGGATGGAGAGAGTGTCAGCTTGTCCGCTCTGCCTTCATCTTTCTGTATGACATTAGGAAAAAGTAGCATAAGTATATTCCTTTCTCCAGATGCCATTTTTTAGAATCATGTTTAATAGGATCTTTCTCCCTCCATAGCTTTCCCAGGTTAGTGTGGAATGAAAGTGACCTGATGATTTGCTTGTACCCATGAAGATCTGCAAAATGCCAAATGGCAACTCAAGCTTCTGGTCAGTTTTCACAGAGTTGCTGAGCTGTCTTGCACCCTTCAGTAGATGGCATTATGTTGCTTTAACCTTGGTTTGATCTTGGAATGCCTTTTTCACAATTTATTAAAGTTAAAAAATCTGAATTTTTATATTTATATTGGCTGATAGCACATTCTTAGGAAAGTTTCCTATTCACTCTGACCAGTGTTTTTTTATTTTTTTATTTTTCTGGCTTTGGGTATGGAATTGAGTAATTTTTTTCTGAACAATCCATCTGAGGAGAAATGTTGATTGAATTAACACACAAAACTCATGCAGCTCTTCTTCTCAATTCCTTCCTTCCTTCCTCCCTCATTTTTTGCTCTCTTTTTTTTTTTATCCCTTGCATCTTCTTTAATGTGTGCATTTCTTCTCCTTTCACCATTTTCATTTACTTTTATCCATCCTTTCTGCAGCAGTAATTTGAGTAACTTGAGAGTTCTTCCTTTATTTCTTCTCTTTTTTCAGCAAATTCTCACATTCATTTCCTGTCTAAGGAGCGGTGTGTACATTTCACTTCACAGCTGCTCTTTCTTTCGTCCAAATTTGTTTATAATGACATGAGAATTTTCCTGCAGCCTCATTGGCTCAAGAAATAAAGAACCAAACTCCATCATATGCCAGTAAATAGTCAGTAGAGCAGTGACATATCTCTTTGCTCTTATTTGTTTGCTATCCTTTTTCCTTCTATTTCACTATGAGTGTGCCTGATCCTGATACTTCACCATCAGTGCTTAATTACATGGTTTACACTTTTTAGTAGAATTTCTGCAAATCTTCTTTTCACTGTAGTATTGTTGGGAGGACAGGAGAAAGAATTGTTCTTCTCTACTGCCTTTCTCCGTTCTTTTTCTCCCCCTCTTTTCCTCCTGCCACTATTTCCTGCACCCAGAGCAAGTGAGGATCATGTTTGTGGCTCTCCTGCTATACATAGTAGGCCATCGATCTCAACACAAGCAGATTAAAATTCCATTTCATTGCTGCTTCTGTTTGACTGCTGGAGAAGTGCTGTGTGTAGTAGTAGTGGAAATATGCCATTTTCCTGTAATGGAAATTGGAAAGAAATAGTGTGGAGTAATATCAGAATCCTGTACTAAACTTGTTTATTTTAATACAAATGAAATAGTGTCATCTTGAATTGTCTTGGTGTAGTGAGGTTAACACATTTCAGTACTTGTTTATCTATATTTGCTTTGGTATTAAAAGAAATTTTATAATGAAATGACAAATCCTTGATTAACTGCAGGTTTGGCTCCCAAGCAGTTGGTGCGTGCTTTATTCACAAATCAAACATCTGAGACTAATGAGAACAGGTATGGTACCTTTTTATTTCTCAGGGATGTAGTTCTTGCTAAATGAAGTTGCCTTGAAGACTAATTATTTTTGTCTATTTTCCCTTGGTCCTCTTAAACATCTTTCTGAAATCAGTATATTGCCCTTTTTGTAAGGGAGAATGTAATCCAGTTTGAAAACATTTGTTGAATGGAAGAAAACATTTTTATCGAAGCAGAAGTTAATTCTTAACAGATAAGATGGCTTCAGCTTCTGAACCCTTAATTTTGAAGAGGTAGCGAGCAGATCAGGAAGAAATTTCTAATATGCTTTGTCATATACAAACCTTACTGGAAAATGGGTAATTTAAATGCAGTTTAAGGTTAATGAAGAGTCATTTAGTTCAATAATTGAAAGTAGTAGTTGGTACAGATTTTTTGGAACGACAGTTAATTTTCAAAGTTGATAATGACCTGTTGACCGAGCCACATTGGCTTTAGCATGACACCAATTACCTGAGAAGATCAGAAACTGAGTCTGCCTTTTATGTTAATTGTGAATATCAGAGTTGTTGTACCAGTTCTGGCTGATTTATCCTGCTCTTCTTATTAAGTAGATAACACATTGCAGTCAATTGATCCTCCCAGTTTAAAATTCTGGGTTAACAGAATGCTGACATGATAATCAGGGATCCAAGTGTCATTAGACATGCTCACAGCCAAAACCAAATAAAACCAGAACCAAATAATAAGCAATACTTCACTTCCAAATCATATAAGCACTTTGAGCACTCAAGTGTTGTAGATGTTAACGTTGAGGGAAGAGTTCTTACTTCAAGAATAACGCTACATTCAAAGTAGCTATGAAAAGAAGAAAAGAGAAGTTTGGAAACTTGTGGCAGATATAGGGATTTCCAACTGAATAATTTTAACTTGCAAAAATAAAATCCTAACATTTAATCTTAAAACTGATTTTACTTTTTTTTTGTTTGGTTTGACAGTTTTATAAAATATTTCCTTTTTAAATTACAAGTGTATAATCTTATCCTTAACTTCACTTTGCTGTTGTTTAAATTATTTGTCCTTATTCTTTTTTTACCAAATGTTCTAGATGTTGTACCTGTTTTATGTTATAGTGAAGTAATTTGTGTTGAAGTTACAGAGAACTCAATACATTGCCCATTGGGGTAATATAACTCTACCCTATGTCCAGTAAAAAAAGATACAGAAACAAAAATCAAGCCTTTGAAATATTTTCAGTAATGAACGTATATCAAAGGAAATTAGTAATCAAGTGAAAGGCATATATTTGCTGTCTTATGTCTGGCAAGAAAAGTACTCTTTTAAAATAACCTTCTCAGCAAAAATTCATCTACTACAGTGACCACAACATGTCAGACTTCTGTTAAAAGACATCATATTGCTCTTCCCCTGATTCTCACTTGTCAAAAAATTAGTGTTAGTAATTGTCCTATGGATGTTTCTCCCTATGATTTTCAGGGATCCCCATGAATCTTTATGCTAAATCTAGAGAAGTACTAGCCTGTGGCAGTCCTCTTGGAGACATTCTCCACCTTTTCTTTCTATTGTCCAAGTGCTGCCACCATGAGGCAAGAGCGTTTTTCTGAGGCTTCCTTCAGTTGGGAAGAGTGGAGTCATATTAATTACTGGGATGTGGGGGTGGGTTCAGAACAGAATGCCTAGCTAGGAGGGAAGAAACTGCTGATTTGGGCAAAAGGCGATCCCTACTGGATACCAGTGTGAGGAAGTCCTGGGAAGTGTTAATTTTTTCTCCATTTTCCCACACCTCCCTCTAGTAACACACCTGAAAAGAAAACAGGAGCAAGAAGAGATGTGGCCATTAGGGCTGTGCAAAGCTTTGGTAGCTGATTTAATTTGGAGGAGATTCAGCCCGATTTGGGAACCGAATCTCCGAATCCAAATCGAATCGGGAGACCAATTAAAAGTTCTGAATAGATTCAAAGCATCCAAATCGATTTGGAAAAAGCTTTGGAAAAGATTCGGACGATTTTGGAAATTTGTTCATAGACTAAACAGGCAGCTGACAGCTGCTTCCAGCTGGTAAGTCTGTTAGGGTTGGGGGAGGGAAGGGTCATAGGGGAGGGAGAGATTGGGGTTGGGGCTGGGACAAGCTGCCCAGCCAAGGTGGGGGGCACATTACTCAGGGAGCGGGGCAGTGGGGGTGCGGGATGCAGACATGGCAGCGCTGGGAGTGGGGGCTCTGCCCTGCTATCACTTGCTCAGCTGGGGCAGGGGGAATGGGATGCGGGCACAGCTTGCTCCAGGTGGAAGGGTGCAAGCAGCAACCGGAGATAGCCCTTGTTCCCAGTGCTGCAGTGCCCTCATCCTGCACCCTTTGCGCCTGCTGGCAGGTGATAGCAGGACAAAGCCTCCGCTTCTAGCTCTGATGTGGGCGTGGCAGCACTGGGAGCAGGGGCTATGCGCTGCTGCTGCCCAGAGCAAGCCATGCCTGCATTGCACGCCCCCCCTTCTCCCACATGTGCCAGCTAGGCAAGCGGTAGCCAGGCAAAGCCCCCACAGCTCTCCCCGCTGGGGCAGAGGCAGGCACAGCCAGAAGAGCCATGGGAGAAGCCCCCATGGCTGCCCTGCCTGGCCCCACCCCTTCCCTGCTGAGCTGCGCTGCACCTGCATCACGGAGCATCTGTCATGCGGGTGCCAGATTGGGGGTGGCGAGATCCCTGCTGCCCCCCACTGCCCTGAATGCAGTGCAGGGCAGTGGGGATCGCCCCCCTCCCCTCCTTGTGGCACCCACATAGCAGCTGCCCCGTGGCATGGGTGCACTGTGGCTCGGCAGGGTGTTGTGCACTTTCTGGGAACTGGGGTAGCCAGAACCCAGCAGCACTCAGTCCCAGCTCCCAGATGGCACGCAACACCTTGCCAAGCCATGCTGCACCTGTGCCATGGGGCAAGTCCCGTGTGGGTGCCAGGTGGGGGGAGCAATCCCCAGTGCGCTCTGCCATGAGCACCCAGAGGCCCCAGTCACCGCTGCTGCAAGCGTGTTTGTTTTTTTTTTTTAGTGCTGGGACTAGGCTGGGGCCGGGCAGGGGATGGGGCCAGGCAGGGCAGTCATGGAGGCTTCTCCCGCAGCTCTCCCCAGCCAATCCAAATCACCAAATCTCTCCGAATCCACTGATTCAGCCAGATCGGTTCAGGACAGTGATCTGAATCTCTGAATTAAATCACTGTTGTCCAAATTGGCCAGATCTGAATTGAATACTTCCCTATTCTCACAGGCCCAGTGGCCATCAGAACACTAATCTACTTCTGAGACAAGCAGGTCTAGTGCATCTTTTCTGCTCCATGCAGTAGGGAAATCTCATTAAGAGCTTTGAAGCTGAGCATGGCATGTGTCTGCATAACCTTTGCAGACCTATTGAGACATCTGGGGAAGAGTTTTCAGTTCTTACACTTGAGGTGGTGTGATAATTAGACATATTTAGCTGTTCTTGTAGTGATATTGGGCAGTTACTGGACATGACAATAAGTAGTTTTCAAAGTGGAAATTTTGTGAAATTACATACAAGTGTTCTTCTAATAATATTCTGGTTCATGTGTGTAGCAGAGCACTTTTAAGACATCAAGCAGTCTGAGAGACTGCTTGCAGGTGGCAGAGAGGAGCTAGTGAGGAACTCACCTGACCAGAAGAGGGCTCAGACTGGTGTTGTATAGACTCAGAGCCTGCACCTGTCAGGTAGCCTTTCCCCAACAACCAAGAAGTGAGGAGCTCCCCGCTTCAGGGTTCCTGAAGGGATTGGATATTGTTGAACAAACCTGCAGTTCTGGGAGCTGAGGCAAGTCCCCTGGGCTAAGAAAGACTGGGTTTACAGGCGAGTGGCTTTTGTTTATGTTAAATCCCTGGAGGAGAGAGGTATCTACCAGAGGGTGGTGATGTTTCTTGTTTATTTGAGTTATCCTGGTTGTTTAGCTTTGAGCCCTGCAGGGGCAAGCTCAAGGCCTATTTAGAGGACCAATAACCCAGGAGCCTCAGACTGAAATTGGGCCCCAGTGAGGAGCCCAGGAGCCAAGAAAAAGGCTGAGATCCAAACCTAAAGGTCCAAGAGCCTAGGAAACGGTGGAGTTGGGCCAGAGCAGTCCAAGCCAGAGTAGAGGGTTCAACAGCCTGGAGAAGGGGCTGCATGCAGGACTGAGGGACAGTGTAAGACTGAGTAAGGGACCAGGGGGCCCAAGTGTATGAACTGTTACATCAATGAGAGAGAACATCTGTGAGGCTTGGGGCATGGTGTAGTGGAGGTGAAGGAGCCAAACAAATTGCTCTTAAGGCTCTTGGTGCCCTACAGGGGGCCTAGTCAAGCTGATTGGGACTTACCAAGCCTGAGGGCTGGTTTGAGGCCATTGGGGTCTCAGGAGAGTGGCAACTTATTGGGATTAAAGCACACTCTAAGGACTATTGGCAGCCTCCCTGAATCAACCTATAATATTTAAGAATAAGGAGTGGCAGGCAAGTCATGTAGGGAGAGTGGCACTAGAGTTTGAACAAGGCAGAAGTGACAGGGCCTCTAGGGGGTGTCATGGCTGCCCTGGTGGCAATAAGTCTGTCGCAATGTGGTATTGAACGTAAATACTAGCATAATTTAAAAATGATATTGCTACTTCACTAAAATGAAGAATTTTAGGAATTGGCAAATGAAAGAATCATGATCTCAAGGTCTTGAAATATGTAAGCTTCAGTGTAAAGGATAGCACATCATCTTTTTATATATAGCTGCAAACAAATGGTGTGCTTCTTAATTCATTCTTTTAAACTTGCCCTCCTATGTTTCAATTGAATTACAAGATAAAATGCATACTGTCATGTTTAGGAGCATAAATCAATTGATTTGAATTGGATTTGCATTTGTTGACCTTCTAAAGTACATTTTTGAAAATGCCTGTCAAATATGGCTGTATTGAAGTATGCAAGTTGGAGAGAATTAGACAGCCTTTTTTATATGAAGTTTGTTTATATTTAAAGGGTCCCTTTGTCAAATCATACACTAACACCAAGGTGCAGTAGTGTACTATCAGAAGAGCATATTCAGAAATTAAAAGAAGCAGGAAAAGATGGTGATAAGCAGCTGATAATTGTAAGTACATTCTTTTTATATAACTTTCTCAAGTTCTTTGAAATTTTAATGATTACAATGAAATATTTTTAATTTCACTATGCTTAAGCTGTATGAACTTGCCTTAAACATAGCTGACAATCAGTGTTCCTTCTCTAGTCTTGCAGTCACTAACTATTACGCTTTTATTGAATTATTGTCATTTAAAGTTGGCAGGAAAAGTGATGATTGATTAAAATAGAACTGTTTTTAAACAGAGATCATAAAAAAATTGGCAATTTAAGTAAGCTGCTGTATTTGTTTATTCAAATACAAAGATTTTTACTATAAAGAAGAATAGAAAAGGAATGAAAGACTGTTAAATTATCTTTATTAGCAAATCCTCAGTTTTATTCCATTAATAGAACTGCTGTGGGGGGGGAGCAAATGTATCTTGCATAAAAAGTTGAATGTAAAAAGCATATACTTATTGAAATGAGAAAATATTTTTCCGGGACACTATCTAAAACCAAAGATCATGAAATTTTCCCCCTACACCCTGATGTTTTTTAATTATATCATCTGAGCTTCAACAATAGCAAATACTGTGAGGGAAATAAAAAGAAATAAACATGACTGGTAAACTAGTAAGTATGGCTATTTCCATTAAAGTAGTAGTATATTGAGAACTATTAAACACTATTTCAGAATGGCACAAATTGGGGCAGGGGGCACACTAATTGTCCTTAGAGAGAAGGAACACAAAGTGCCACAGCAGAACCAACACAGACATTATCAGGTATTCACACTTCAGTATTACAAAAGTAGAGTACCTAAGAATTAAAATCATAGGAAAGTCTTTAATCCTCCAAAAACATATACCAGGAATACAAGTCAGAAGTTTTGCTCTTTATTGCAGCAGGGACCTTGCTCCTGTATGCATGGCATTACAAACTAACAGATACTTTGCTCATTGCCACTCAAGTTCATAAATTTAAGGACATTAAATTGTTGTGGGATACATTTAATTAATTTGCAGTAGTGTCAGTCGTTATGTGTATACCGTATTTTAGGGATGTGCAGATAATACCAAGCTGGGTGGAGTTGTTGACACTTTGGATTTAGGATAACCTTGATAAACTGTAGAAAAGGTTAAAAATTAATTGAATGAAATTCAATAAGGGTAAGTGCAAAGTGCTGCACTTGGAAAGTAATAATTGCATGCACTAGTGGACTGTGATCTGAATATGAGTTGACTTGTTTTCAACAAGAGCACGCTGTTAACAGCATTATATTATCAACATGGTTGTATTATCAGGAATGTCACTTGCAAGTCAAGGGAAGTGATTCTTCCACTCTCATCAGCATTGATGAGACCTCACGTAGAGTATTTTGTCCAATTTTGGACACTACGTTTCAAGAAAGATGTGAACGAATTTAGAAGCTGTTCAGAGAGAGCAACAAAAATAATTTTTGTTGACCAAAAGAGGTCTTGGGAACATGATGTTATGAAGTCCCCCGGGGCATGCTTGCTGTTCTCACCTGAAGGCTAAAGGTGAGACTAAAGGTTCTCACCTTCAGCTTCATCTGGTCTCTCTAACTCCTGAAGCCAGTCGAGGCATGACTTCTAGAGTGGAGAGGAGAAGCCAAAGCTTTTTGGTGCCTCACCCTCTTGGGTCTTCTACAGCCCTTTCTACAGCCCTTCCTTAGGGCTGTACCTTCTCATTGACTTCAGAATGAGGGTCATTAACTCTTAATAGGGATAAGAAGTGCATCCTGAAGTTCCAACTGCAAGGCAGATAATGTATCTTTAAAAAGGCAGCTATTGAGCCAAAGGCCACCCAGCAAGAAATCCTTTTTCCCCTCCAAAAGGTTAAGCAAGTAACACTGTACTCAGGCTAGCCCACATAGCCCTGAACACCCCGAAGTTAACTGCTTTCTTTCCAGTGTCCTCAGCCCCCAAAGTAGCCTATCTGTTTTCTTTCTCCTGATTCTTGAGCTCCCAAGTCAAACCCTGCCTGTTCAGGCTGCTCCTATCCAGACGCATGTCCCTCAGCTTTCCTGTATTCCTTTGGCTTCATTGTCTCTTAACCCCTTCTTTCCCCATGTACAAGTCAGTCAGGAAAACTGAGGCGTACAATACCATTAAAACAAAACTGCATTTAAAACACATTTTGCAATAAAATTTGTAGTCTGTCTAACTTGACATATGAAGCAATGTTGGAAGAATTGAGATTGCCTAGTCTATACATGAAAAGGTTGAGGGGGATTTGATAACAGTCTTCAAATACCTGAAGGTTAGTTATAAAGAGGGCAGTGATTGATTCTTCTCTGTGTCCACAGGGGACAGGACAAGGAGTACTGGTCTTAAATTGCAGCAGTGGTAACTGGGTTTGGATATTAAACTAAACTTTTGAACACTAAGTGGTAAAGCAGTGGAACAGGCTACCTGGAGAGGTTGTGAAATCTCCATCCTTGGCATTTCTCAAGACCAGTTTAAATAAACACTTGTCTGCAATGTTTTAGACAGGTATGATCTTGCTTTTGGGTAGGGAGTTGAACTAGATCAGCAGTGTCAAAGATGCATACAGCTCATTGAACGCTAGGATCTGGCCCATGAGTCTTGGACTGAGCGCATGCGTTGTGTGCATTGGCCCCAGTCCTGCTTATGACATGTGATGCCTGTACTGCACTGAATCTACATGGTGGCTCCAAGGCCAGATCAGGCTCACAAGCCATCCAAGCATGCTGGAGTCAGTGCACAGGGTCAGTTGGATGCAGATGCAGTATGCACCCCATGTCAGATCTGCATGCGGTGTGGACCCCAGACTATGGTTAGCCTAGGATACACAGAGACTGGAACGTGTATGCAGCACAGGGAGCCAATCCAAAGTTGCGCTGCATGTAGCACCCTGCACACTGGCTCCAGGGCAGTCTGTATCAGACCCACAGACTGGACCCAGCACACAGAGTTGGACTGGTATCGGCACTTCATGCAGTATGTACCCAACATGCCCCCATGTATGGCTTCACATACAAGCCCTGGACTGATACCAGGGTGTGTGTTGCATGAGCTACCTGTACTGAACCAGCCTTGCATGCTGACTCTGGTGCATGGGGTTGGTCTGTGGGTCTGGTCCAGCCTGCAGGCCAGCCGCGTTCCCTTCATCTGGCCTGCAGGGCTAGAACAGTTTGACGCCCCGGACTACATGGCCTCTTGTGATTCCTTCTAGCTCTATTTTTCTGTGATTTTAAGTTAGAGTATTAATCTTAGAGTAAAAAGGATGGTTTTCATGAAGAAAATTAGAAAATAAGTTTAAATTGGCAACAAATTCATCATTTTTTCTTGTGCATATTTCTCAAGCCAAAGAGAGGGATGCTTAACCATAACAAAATATTTCTAAAAGGAAAAGACCTCCATAATATTATTATTTTTATTCATTCTCTAGCATTAATACTTAAAATTAACACTTACTTGGATCAGGATTAGTTCTTTGTTGGGTTTTTTTTGTCAAAAGAGACTTTAGTCAGGCCTGTAGTTCACTTTAATTAAAGAGTGACAGTACATGTGGCAGTGAAACTTTTTGGTTTACCTTTCTCAGACATGAGACTGCAATGTTCTATATGTATAGAGAAAGTTGTCCTCTGCAAAATAACCTTTTTTGTAAAATACTACATATTTGCTAACCATAGTTTTTGTAGAGATGGTTCATGGTAGTTTTGTATATGGTTTTGATAGTTTGTACTTGCATATATAGAAAAATACCTGATTTGAAAAGGAAAAATTTCAAATATAGTTACTTGAAGGAGTTTAAATCAGTAAATACTTTTTTTAAATCCTATTTTTAAAATTCATAGTTGCCATTTATGAGAATTTGTGATTTTTTTTTTTTTTTTTTTTTTTTTAAATCACATTTTTAGATATCAGCAGTAGTTCAAAATTTTCTGAATGGACATTTTACAAAGATGCTTAGGTACTATTGTGTTGCAGGTATCTGAGTACCAAATCAAAGAATGCTAGTTTGATTTTAAAAATGAATCAATTATTTACTTTAAAAATAAATATAATAAAAATGTTTTGTTGTGTGCAGCCAATTTAAACTCAGGTGCTGTGTAGTTATAAGCTATTTTAATAGTAATAGCTAGAAACGTAATTCTAATTCAGTTGTAATTACTAGTGTACTCTTAGCAATAGCACTTTAATATAAAGGAATAGAAATAGGCTGTTGCACATATGCACATCCAAAAGTGTACTCTGTTGGGGGAGACTTATGTTTAAGGTCACTTACAACATTTAAGTCTTGTCCCTTTTGAGGTAAGCAAATGTGATCTCTCTCTTACAGATCAAGGAGAGATGAGTAGCAGGATTATGACTTGGATAAGGTCAAAGATAGTGTTAGTTCCTGAGGCCACGTGCAGACGAGCGTGCATGCGGTATATTCTGCGGCACCATAAACTGCATGCACCGCACGTGCAGGTGTTCACTGTACTGCTAATTTGCAGTGCACTGGGAGTGTTTTTTGACCTCGGGCTATCCCAGTGTCAGAAAAACCCCTGCACCTGAAAAAAAGTGGAGCGGTGTATGTGGAGGTAGTGTGCGCTGCCCAAAATTGGAGTCTGTACTGTCAGAGCTGTGCTTCGGCTATCGGCCAGGCTCTGCATGCTGGATCACCACCTCATGTAGGCCTAGGAAGCCCCCAGGATCTCAAGTAATGCTGCTGGGGCCAGCCCAGATGCTGGCTTCAGCCTCCTCTAGCCCACCCAGAGTGACTTGTCGTGTTCACGCGTGCATGAACGTTCCTTGGGGACAAGTACCAGCAGCACAACTATGTGCAGCTGCTGTTTGTCCCCGGGAGACGCACGTGCACGCTTGTCTGGACATGCCCTGATTTGTTTTTGTGTTCAAATGAATATAACAAACTATTCTGAAAATTTATTAAATTCACCCCCTCTTGGATTATTTTAGTATGAGAATTATGGACTACCATTTTTTTTAATTTACACATTACATTTATGTGCTCTAAAGTTAAATGAGCATCCAA